CCGTGGCCTTGGTGTTATCAGCACCGCACTCTCCCGAGTGAGCCACGGGCCGGCCCACCCTATGCAATTCTATATGAACTGTTGGAACATCTTTTCAAGTTTCCTGAAATACTCTGTTGAGCTTTTGGTTGATATAACTTTGACTTTATAGGTTTATTTGAAGAAATTAACATCTTTATGACGTTGAGTCTTTCCATCTCGGAATATGGTATAATTTCTGTGGTAGGTTAAATATCGCCACAAATTCTTTGCAGCTCCTCCTATTAAGAAGAGGAGTCTATTTCCNTATGACGTTGAGTCTTTCCATCTCGGAATATGGTATAATTTCTGTGGTAGGTTAAATATCGCCACAAATTCTTTGCAGCTCCTCCTATTAAGAAGAGGAGTCTATTTCCCCACCTCTTGAATCTCAGCTGGTTTTGCTATTTGCTTTACCTAGTAGAATATGACAGAAGTGACATTTTGCAAGATCCAGAACTTGGGATGAAGTGATGTAATATCTGTCTTCATGCTCTTGGAACACTGCTTTGAGACCACCATACCATGATGAATCCCAGGATAAAGGACCATATGGAAACAGAAAACCCAGCTGTCCCAGCTAAGTTCAACAACAACTGGTTGACCTGTCAGCTGACTGCATCTGCGTGAACAAGCCTAAGTGAAAGCAGCAGAGAACTGCTCACCCAACCCACAGAATTGTGTGAAATGACTAATTGCTGTTGACTTAAGCCACTGAGTTTTGGGTTGTTTTATTCCACAAAGACTAGCTGAAATAGAAATTGGTACCTAGGAGTTGAATGCCGCTGTATTTAAAACTCAACACATGCTGCATTGGCTTTGGGACTGGGTGGTAGAGAGACTCTGGAAGCGCAATAAGAAAACTGGCAGTGGAAGCTGGAAAAGCAATGAGGAAAGTACTATTGAAGGCCAGAAAGATGGCAAACCATGTTGTGTGCTAGTGGAAAAACTGGCAAAACTTGTGCCTGGAATGACTTGGAAGGTAGAAAATGTAGCTAATATTGGTAGACTCTTGCTGGAATGACCCTGTAGGAGAGAAAAGATTTCTCACCCATCACTAGGTTTATGGCTGAGACCCTATAACAAAAGACAGATGAATAAAAGAAAAAATATTTTATGGTTTGGATGTTTGTCCCCTCCAAAACTCATGTTGAAATTTAATTGCCATTGTAACAGGATTAAGAGGTAGGACTTTTAAGAGGTTAACAGGCCATGAAGGCAGAGCCCTCCCAAACCGATTAACGCCATTAATGCAGGAGTGAATTCATTACAAAAGGGTGAGTTTGGTCCCCTTTTCTGGGACTTTTAAGAGGTTAACAGGCCATGAAGGCAGAGCCCTCCCAAACTGATTAACGCCATTAATGCAGGAGTGAATTCATTACAAAAGGGTGAGTTTGGTCCCCTTTTCTCTCTCTCTTGCTCTCTCTTTGCCCTTCTGCCATGTGATGACATCTACCATGCTATGATGTAGCAAGAAGGCTCTTGCAAGATGCCAGCACCTTGATCTTCAACTTCTCAGCCTCCAGAATTGTGAAAAATGAATTTCTGTTCATTATAAATTACCCAGTCTGTGCTGTTCTGTTGTAGCCTCACAAAACAGGCTAAGACACAAATTTAGTTAAGTTTTACATGACATAGAAACCTGCACAAGTGAAGACCCAAAGAAACAGGAAAAATTGTGTATTTTTATGGACAGTCATGTAGAAGTATGATTGGAGGACAAAAATATATCATCTAATAGTAATAAACTGTGGGGATCTTAGCAAGGCCTATTCAGATTTTTCTGGTGTCTCTGTCCTCATTACTTTCCTCTAGACATAGGACACATGAGGGTTATGTGACCCACTTCAGGGAAAGTTCAACTAGGTTACATGGCCTGCTTCAGGGGAGAATGATGGTAATAGGTTCGAGAGAACTTTCTGCCTCGGTTTTCTCAAATGCCAAGGTGTCACATTTTGGGGTAGTGTGTTCTGAACCCTGTCAGCCCCCAATTAACCCCTCCTCCCAATATCTATTCTCCTGTGTAGTTCCCTCCTACATTGACTCTAGCAAACATGACACAAGCAAAGGCTTGATAAACTCTTGTGCATTATGGCTTTTGCTTTCGGAATACTTCTTAGAATCCAGTCACCATGCTTTGAGGAAATAAAAACAACCATGTGAAGAAGTCTACGTAAAAAACAATGGAGACAAGTGACAGCACCCATTCCCAGTTACATGAATGAGGCCATTTCAAACCTGTCAACCATCCCAGCACCACAGACAATCCACATGAAGCAGAACCACCTCACCAACCCATAGAATCATGAGAAATAATGAATTATTGTTCTTGAATTAAGACAGTAACTTTTTTAGTGTTTTTTAAAAATGTTTCGATATATTTTTTCTTTTTATTTATTTATTTATTTTTAAAGAAAATGTGATTTTATTAATGTTACTTTCTACATTCTAGGATGTTGTTGCAGAGCAGTTGGGAGGGAATGGAAGGGGGAAAGGGGAAGGCAATGGGATGGAAAAAGGAGGAAGGAGGAAGGTCAGGGTTGAGGCCTGTGGTACCAGCCTCATTCCCACAAGGGAGACCAGGGGGCTTTCAGTGGTGGCTTGGTCATTGCCAGGCTGGGTGCAGATGTCGGGGGGGTGGCAAAAGCCCTCACCCCCGCACCATTCCAGCTCGGGAACCTGGGGCCCTTCTTGCTGCTGCTTGGTGGTCATCGCTGGGCTGGTTGCAGGTATGGGGGGGGTGTGGCTGAGGCCCAAGGCCCTCCACTGCCCCAGCTCAGGAGAGCCCAGGGGGCATCCTGTGGCAGCTCAGTGGTCGTCGCTTGTCTGCCTGTTTGTGTCAGGGGGGTGTGGCGAAGGCCCGAGGCTCAGTGGTCACCACTGGGCTGGCTGCATGAGTAGGGGGGGCGTGGCCAAGGCCCTCATCCCCCACTCAGGAATGGTTGCAGGTGTCAGGGAGCATTGCTGAGGTCACCAGCCCTCCCCCCTTTCTGGCTTGGTGCCCCAGGGGACTTCAGGCCTTCTAGGTGTTATAGGTGTTCTTTGGTGAAATGAGACCTTTACTAGTTAATATCAAACTTTGTCTCTGGTTGCAGGTACTTTGTTTTTTCTTTCATTTCTGTGTTGGATTATTTGCTGTTCACACCATTTAAACTCTGCACTGGAACTAATTTGTTGTCCTTTGCTTACTTCTCTTTTTTTTTTTTTTGTCTTTTT